GTGCTTTTCTAGTCAACTTGATCCAAATTTTTTGGTCTATGATTCAATCTTCGGTCGCTGTTCGCAGTTTCATATCGTTCTTTACGATAGAGTGCCACGTTTCTTTTCTTTCCGCGCAGAAGCAGTATGTTAACTATATTTCCAATATGCTCTTACGATGATATTTGACTAACTGACGTAAATGAACCAAAGGAAGCTGGTTTTCGGAAATCATTGCTACATTATAAAGCGCCTCCTATGAAATTGTGGTCTTAATATGATTCATTTCGCTAACACCATATCCATTTCAGCGTTCGCATTTCTACCGAGTTAACTTGTTGCTCAACTGTGTTTAGGGTAGTCAAACATTCTACTCCGAATAGAAGTGCCGGTCTTACTGTCGTTTTCTGCACCTTTCGCTTTAGTTTGATGGACAGCATTCCGTCGCACACTACTGCACCATTTTTTTCGTTTGAACCATGCTTTTATGACCAGTTTCTTAACTTACTGTTGATTTTTTTATGTTTTTGAAACTGGAACTAAGACAATTGAATTTTTTGGTTTAAGTCAGCATGCTCACAGCTTCTGTGACTGATTTGTTGGGCTTTCTATTTGTTCTCCTAACTGAAATAGTCGATCATGTATTGCGACTTTGTTGAGCGGAAGGCCCTTTTTTCAAATACTCTTCCTAATGACTCGATTTTTGCTTCTGATGCTTCTTTGCGTTTATTTCTCAGCATGCAGTATGACGCTGTTTCCTTTAGAACTTTATTTTTCGTGTCTGACGGCATCGAGAGTAGAAATGGGCTCAGGGCTGAACCTTGATGGTCCCTTCACTCGCACAGTGAATTTTTTTGTTTCGCCGCATATTCTTGAACAGTGACTAAGATGTCTGCTTCGAGCTGCTGATGTGCTGGTTTCGGTTCCGGTCGAGGGCAGTCTTTGTCATATCCAGGAATTCCCTTGAGGAAGTAATTTACAACATATTGCTTCAGAGCGGGTTTTCTCAGTCGGTAGAGCGTTGAACTCAGAATCGATAGATCCCAGTTCAAGCTCAGTTGGGTTCATTTGCCCTTATTCCTTCTGAGTTTGATAAATTAGTATCACTCTGTGGGAAACTATACGCAACGCTTGCGAGATAGCTATAGACTCTGCTGTTAAAAAATTCAGGCACTCATAGATGATATCAGAGAAGCGGAAACCAGAAACGTACCACCAATTTCATGAAAAGTAGGGCGCCAAAAGGGTCCAATCATGAAATTGAATGAAGATCGATATTCCAACGGTGACAAACTTTCCTTTCCTTTCACTTTAAACCTAGTGTATTTTTCTGACACCAGCTTCGTTCTCATGCTCCACCAAATGGTCTTCCTCAGTGTTCGATCAGGAATTTTACCGTGAGAAATTTACTGTGAGAAACATCTCGTACGTTCTAGAACAAACTACAACGCTCGTATGCAATTTCGTACTGTAAGTGCGGTGGCGAAAACGAGGGACGACAACTTTGACGATAGAATAGACAGCAACGAAAGTGTCGAGAAACGAAACCAGAACGAAATTGGCATTATTTGCAGGACATTGACAACTTATTAAGAAGTGCTTAACAAAAACCTATGCCGGCCCTAATTCAAAATAGGCTCCAACACTCCCGAGTCAAGTCGATCCATCATTTTCGGCGAGAAGACACAAATCGAATAGTGCAACGTTCGCTGTCTGCGTACATCAGCTAATTGTTGCGCAAAGTGCGGTGTCGGACGTTCACGACGCCAGCCATTGTGTGACATATTGTCGTCGCTTGAATTATGGGTCCCCACTGCGAGGGTTAAATCATTTTCGACACTGAGGTTCCCGATGATGACGAGCACGTCGGAAAACGATCGAGAGAAACGAATCACGAGACAGGAAAGAACGAAGACGAAGAAAGAGGTGCTTGCCGACGCACACACATTCGCTGTCTCTTTTTTCGCATCAGCCGTCGAACGCCAGCCATCTGAAGAGGAGCAGGAGGACAACGACTTAATTGGAATTACACCGCAACGTGCCACATAAAGGTTGATGCCCATCGATCACGATGGTCAGTAGTTTGTGTGTGAGATGGACGAGTTGCTTTATCGTTGTCGTCAATCACACAGATACAGCTGCACTGCTTACGCATATAACATATGCTTCTCAGTAACTACAAACTACCTGTACTCTTCTGCGGTTTTAAGTTGTTTCAAGGGTACGTGACGCCTGAATGTTACTTGTACGTGTGAACCATCAGGCAGTTTTACGTGATGTGCCTTTCGTCGTAGCGTGTAATTATTGACGTCAAAGTGTCCAACGAACTGCATTGCATAGTGCAACTGTTTATAGCCAAAAAAGATAACTTGCATCACATTATCACTTACCGTAGCTGATGTTTTACCACCATAAACTATAATTCAAAAGAAATTAATGTATGGCAAAAGTAACACTCAACTCCACGGAATGAGTAGGTGGTGAGGTCAGTTATGGTTCGCAAGCGAGAAAGCGGTATTGAGCACTAAAGCGTTGCGCCGAAAAGTCGCAGAAACCAAATCTTTTCCTGACAATCGATCACAGCGTGATTTTCATGTGAGTGACAATTTCAGTTCGCACTTCTCAGCAACATGCACCTTTAAGATTTAAGGTTGTGTGCCAGTCAGCTGCTGGCGCTCCATGAATTGCTTCAAAATGATATTCTCTTGACCGTATCGTAGCCATTCTTCATTCTTGCTTATATCTTAGCCGAACTCACGCGCAGGAAACAAATTTATCATTCAAACTGCAGAAATTGCTTCCATTTCATCCTGTGCAAGTCCCTTATCAGTCTAGCTCTGAATTCAGCGACATTGCAGCTCGCTCAGTCAGCTTATATAACTTAATAATTAAGATTATCGTTATATAAAATGACATTTTTATGTTTTGGTTAGAAGACACTGAGTACTTATGCAGTGCACCAAATCCTCATACTTTTTGGTGATTGCTTCGTGATTGACCCATAATTCAACCGTCTCAAATAACGGGCGTAATCTCATATTAAGACGAAAGACGATAGAAAGCATATTTCTTACTTTCTGTGCACAGTGCTCCTTACTCATTGTGTACAGCCTATTGGTACAGTTCCTAATAGGTCGGTTTCGAACTCGTGGGGGCGGGTTTGTTTCAGGTGGTAAAACAGTCTATTTGGTAACTGCCTTGAGCAAGGAATTTATCCTACGTTGCTTCAGACTATGGTTGCTCATTCGATAGAGCGACGTACTCAGAACCTAGGTGCCCCGGGTTCTGATCACTGTGGTAGATCGCTTGCCTCCCTTCCTTCTGCGATTGATAAATGAGTACCACGCTGTGGGAAAGAAGCATGAGACTGCATGCTGACTTGCCACGTTATTGTTGCTGGCCGATTCTGCCTGTGAAATAAGGCATTACTGGCTGATATATGGAAATAAGTGGCCCCATTATAAAGTTATAATTAAAACCGAAATTTCAGCAGTTTGCACTTTCCTTTTCTTTTCCTTAATCTGTACAGCAATCGCAAAGCCTTTCATACGCCACAAGGTAATCGGTTAACAGAGCAATAGCGTCATGAGCTGGCAGAGTTCCTTGGACGTTTTAAAGCACTAATGACAAGGAGACGGGCAATCTAATGACAAATCTGGACGAAAGTGTTCAGAGTCATCGTTTTTATTGATTTCCGAAGAGGCAAAACATTTCGTCATGCAGTCTACCCTCTGAACGACGGATGACGACTTACAGGTAAGAATGAAAGACACAGTGAATTGATATTAAGAGATACATGTCATTGAATATGGAGAAAATAGAGTGCTTTTGCCAAACGAGCGGTTTTTTAGTGAATCTAGAGCTGTAACATTGTTTCAGACGTTTAAAGAAGAAGAAAATATTCGTCTCTGAAAGCACATCGCCCTCTACTTTGTTCCCTCCATGTTACATGCTGGCCTCCTGTTTAAGTCTGCCGTGCTTTGGCTCATACTCGAGAAGCCCATGCTCAAAGTAAATGGTTTCTTATGAACCACTTTATCTAAAATCGTCAACCTCCTTTTCTTAACCTGTACATTTACTGAGATTACCTGTACCCATAGTGGAATGGAGTCATTCCTTATAAGATCTTTCCATTAAACCCTATTATGCGTCGAAGCCGACACTGCTGTACGCAATTCTGCCGTTGTTCTGGCAACTTCGTTAGAACCACTTACTACATGACATACGGTACACTGGCCTGACCGAGACAGGATGTACGCAAATATGAATGAAACGAATTATCCATTTTTCATTCCAAATACTGGTATGGTTTCCCATGAACTTGAGGTTAGAGCGATCATTCTATGTAACTTTGGCGGGATGGTGCCCTCTGGTGGAAATAATGGAACCATGATACTTAAATTCGTTTATCTTCTCCTCCTTTGTAGATCAGCTCGATT